TAATTCATAAAAACATCTGTAACCTCCTTTTTTGACAGAAATACAGTATATGAAGTAATTGTAGTTTTAAATAGATCATATTTTTATCACAACCTTTGTAAAATATTGACCATTTGGTATAAAGGTGCTTAATAACAGATTTTTTTTTCAGGTAATCACAAGTTGACAGCAACAGCTAAAGTCATTGTAAAAATTTGTGAACATGAAGTGAGTACCATTATACATTCTTGCCAAGCAAATAGATTTGTTTAGAAAAAAAGTTTGTCATTTATGTTTTAATCTCTGACTCAGTGATATTTTTTCTCTAAAATCATCTTATGTCCTAATGCTTTATATCAATCACTCCTGCAGATGAATGAAATAGAGGTTTGTCCAGAATGTTATCTGTCAGCTTGCCAAAAGAGGGAAAACTGGTTTTGTGAACCTTGCGTAAGTATTCACTTTTCTTTTTTCTTTTTCTGCTGGGAATCAGCAAAAAAAACGTTTTCTTTTTTCAGGCAGCTGATACCTTTCCATATTTTAAAACATGTGATTATGTCTATTTATCAGAACCATTTTTTTTTTAAATCTGAATAGAGTAATCCTCACCCTCTTGTGTGGGCAAAACTGAAAGGATTTCCATTTTGGCCAGCTAAAGCTCTGCGAGATAAAGACGGACAGGTCGATGCCCGATTTTTTGGGCAGCATGATAGGTAAGACATTTTTAATATTCTTATTAATATTTTTACTATTCTTAAAAAGTTCAGAGTTTTCAGATTAGAAAAAGGGCAGTGCATGTTAATAAAACATGTTGATGATGAAATATGACCCTGTAATCCTATATTACAAAAATTCTATTACAAAAATGTTTTAAATATATTATTATGACATATTAATTATCAACTGTCTGACAATAAAGTGATTTTTTAAAAGCTGCAGATTTGTCAGAATGTGTTTTCTTGCGAGGCATGGGTGTAATGTATTCTTTAATTTTTCAGGGCCTGGGTCCCAATAAATAACTGCTACCTCATGTCCAAAGAAATTCCTTTTTCTGTGAAAAAGACTAAAAGCATCTTTAACAGTGCCATGCAGGAAATGGAGATCTATGTAGAAAACATCAGGAAGAAGTTTGGCGTTTTTAACTATGCTCCCTTCAGGACACCATACACTCCCAACAACCAGTTTCAAATGTTGCTGGATCCCTCGAACCCCAGCGCAGGCACAGTCAAGCCTGAGAAGCAAGAAAAAATCAAGTTCAATTTTGACATGACAGCGTCTCCTAAAATCATCCTGGGAAAGACCATGCTCTCAGGAGGTACAGGGAGGAGGATCTCTCTGACTGAGATGCCACGCTCTCCAATGAGCACCAACTCCTCAGTGCACACGGGGTCCGATATCGAGCAGGACACCTCGGAGAAGAGCCTCAAAGCCCCAACTAGTCACTACAGCGCTGGGGAGGAGTCCATGGACTACACAGGTACATCAGCCTGCTGGAGCAGTCTTGACTGGAAGAGACCGCCTTTATTTTGCACAATGGTATCAATTTTAATGCTCATTTGTGTTAAGACATAAGCTTGTCCGATATGGGATTAAAATGCTATGCTGAGCTTCCACTACCCTTCTGCAAATTACCTGTATTGTATTCAGTATTTTCTATAATGGACTTATTTAAAGTTAATAAAACCCCACATACTGTACACTGGAATAAAAAGGTTTTCAGGCTATTTAAAATGGTCTATAAAACCTGCCTCAAATACTAGACTTAAAATGAATAAAAAAAACTAACCAGCTATACCAATATACAGATGTGTACTTTTGTTTTCATTTCAGTTTCTCTGTACTCGGGGAATGAATTCCCTCTAGTCAGTCAATTCTCTCAAGCACCTAGCTTGTACGGGCAGTGGTGGCCAAGAATAGGATCAGATATTAAAGTAGATTTTAGTGTTGTACGTCACTGAGCTTTATATTAAACTAACAATCCAAGTTACTTGAGACTAAATATAGTTGTAACGTTCAAATGCTGAGATGCGCTCAGGGTGTTTGAGATGGAATTTCAGTGTGTGAGGTGTAATTAATTCACAGGCTTGTACAATGTGTAGTATTACTTTCAGTGAGTTTAAATTAAAAAGTATGGATTTTTTTGGTCAAAAAGCCACATTCACATTCACTATAATAACGTGCACAGAAAACGCAAGCTTTATATTGGCAGTTAATTGCGCACATGTCATGTCATGTGCCAAACTGCTTTATACAGAACCATACATGTCGCGGGAAGCCGGAGCCTACCCGGCGGGCAACAAGCGCAAGGCAGGGTACACCCTGGATGGGACGCCAGTCCATCGCAGGGCCAGTGCAAGCCAACGGGGACAATTTGGAGCCACAGTAAAGGCAGAGGGGGGGATTTGACTCGGACACTGGGATAACTCCCTACTCTTATCGAGAAACGCCCAGGGGTCTTTAATGACCACTGAGAGTCAGGACCTGTCTGTTAACGTCTCATCTGAAAGACAGCGCCCACTACAGTATAGTGTCCCCGCCACTGTACCAGGGCATTAGGACCCACACAGACCGCAGGGTGGGTGCCCCCCGCTGGTCCCACTCACACCACTTCCAGCAGCAACCATAGCTTCCTAGGAGGTCTCCCATCCAGGTACTGACCAGGCTCAACCCTGCTGAGCTTCAGCAGGTAGCCAGTTGAGAGATGCAGGGTGATCTAGCTGCTGCCTCTAATTGGGTACGAATGTTATTTATATTTTAAATAGTGTTTAGAGAGGTTTGTTGATTGGTTCTTTGGAACTTGGATATGGTCAATGTCGTAATTATATTTATGTTATTGCTCTCTTCCTCAGCATCTCCAGCATCTGCAAAGACTGGGCATGCGGGCAGTGTGACTGAGAGCCCTAAGCCTTTCTCTCCTCAATCTTCAACACCTGTCACTACCAAACAGGAGAGGACTTCTACAACTGGAAGCATCCTTAACCTCAACCTGGGTGAGTTTTGTATATTTTTATTTTCCAACAGCATTGGCAGCTAGTGACTTTTTTGAGAGCTGAGGCACAAATCAGAAAAAAATGATCTTACTGTATATGGCAGTCTGATGTGCTGCAGTATATAAGTATCTTTGTTACCTGTATATTTTTTTTCCGCTGTTACATTTTGGCAGTTAAATGAGTTTTAAATTCTTTCACAATTCCCAGAGGTCTAATACAATGTCTCTTCTGACAATAGCCATTATTGGAAAATGTATGTAGGTATGTGTAAGATATATCAGGCTCTCGCTACTTCACAAAAGATTGAAACTGGTAAATTCCAGAACAGATTTGTATTACTAGCAAGAAGGAAACCTATCATGAGTTATATACACATAGGTCTATTCATTATACACAGAAGCAACTGCATTGAGGTTTGCAGGGAAAACATTAGTCTATTGCCATTGCACATTTTGCTATGTTTTGAGAGGTTTTTATACCATTGATTTAATTTCCTACCCTCTATTCATGTTAAATGTAAAGTGTCCAGTTTCTCATGAACCTGGACAGTTATGGTCATCACCAGCATGTCAAAAGACAAGTAACAGGGTAGATTTCTTTGTTATTGGCTATCTGTGATCATCACCAATAGAAAACAGATGACCAGATTTGCTTGTATGAAGCTGTATATATGAACAGCCTTGTACATAAGTACACCTCTGAAGAAAAGGATGAACATTCTCTTGTACAGGGAACGTGGGTAACACCATCCAAGATGTACTTGTACTGAATGGATCCATTATGAGTCCTGCTATGATGTTTAAATGCATGAGTAGTTTATATCGTCAGATTCTAACCTAGATAGTTTTTTAATTGAATCATTTTTGTAGAAAGGTTTTAGGTTCTAACACCTCTCAGAATTTGTTTGCTAAGGCCATGTGGCTGAGTGTGTAAGTGCTTTTATGCATTTTTCATATAATGGCTCCACCTCTGTTGTTGAGGTGCTAAAATTAAGGACAATTCAATATTATTGTTTCTTATTTTTAAGACTGAGGGCTATACTTGCTTTTATCGCACATTTTTAAACAGTTTTGTGAAGTTCACCATTGAAGGGGAAAAAACTTTTGTTTGAAGTTTGGTTGAAAAATGTGTTACTGTTGCTTTTCTGTGTAGGTGGGTCTCTTATTTGGAAATCCTTTGCCCAAGCCAAACCCATTCAAGTGCAACAGGCACATTGGACTCTACAAGCAGAGTTAACTGTAATGCTTAGAGGACTGTTTAGCAAATTCTCCTCATGATAACCCCATACGCTCTTAAGCTTACTTGATATGTTTACTGCTTCCCTATCTGAGGTGTCATAAGGAATCATGGAACATTTATTTATATATAACGGTTTATTCTGTTCGATCATATCAATATGTTTGAAAAAGATGTTAAAAAGAAACAAAATCCCCACAAAGAAATATAAAAAAGGACGTGTAAGTCATTCTGTCCAATTTGCCTCATGTAATCCTTTTAGTGACAGAAATCTTACTGACAGAAGTCATGGCATTAACAAAAATAAGCTAGAGCAGAATTCTTAAGTGTTTTAGCTACAGTACATGGCTACAGTACGTAAATTGCTAATATATTAACAAATTGTCGTACATGGGTAAGCATGTATAAATTAGTTTTGTCAATGAACACCAGGTGAATCTCCTAAAGTCAACTAAGAATGCAAAAAATGTGTTTTCATACTAGCTGTTTCTTGTAGCAAGTGCAGGGTGACATTTGCATACCTTTGCAATGTAACTGTTCTGGTAGAGATTTACTGATACATTGAGCAAAGGCATTCTGGATACTTTTCTTGTTTCAGACCGCAGCAAAGCTGAGATGGACCTGAAGGAGCTGAGCGAGTCTGTGCAGCAGCAGTCGACGCCAGTCGTGCTGACATCACCAAAGAGACAAATTCGGAGCCGCTTTCAACTCAACCTGGATAAAACAATCGAAAGCTGTAAAGCCCAGCTTGGTATGTACTTGCCAAATCTGTTCTCTCTCCTGGTATTGCTAGCGGAATATGGGTAAGCCTTCTCTGTTCTGATATTGGCAAGTGCATTACAGCAGTCTGCAATCATCTAGAATACGGGATACATCTGCATTATTCTCATTGAATTTGATAAAACAAGTATGATATCTAAAACATGAAACCACGCATTGTTCCAGATTTCAGTTAATATTATTCCTGGGAAGGCTGCATTGTTGATACTCACATTTGTTATTTTTATCACCTGTAGATTATTTTTGTAACCATGGTCTGCCCTAAGTCTAACAGGAAACCATTATTATTGTTATGATTATTGCTATAGCTGTCAAACCAGTAATCCTTAGTAATATCATTTATTTTTCAAGCTTGCTGTGTTGCATTTTAAGTTCAAAACTCATTTATTCCTAAAATACATTGTTTTTTAAATATATAATGACTTCCTTTGTGTTCACAAGCCCTTTGTTAGAATAGTTGTTGTTTAGGATTACGTACTGCATGTACTAATGTTTTGATTTTATTACTGTCTAGGGATAAATGAGATTTCTGAAGATGTGTACACAGGGGTGGAGCACAGTGACTCTGAAGATTCGGAGAAGTCCGATTCCAGTGACAGCGAGTATATGAGTGACGACGAACAGAAGTTAAAAAACGGTCAGGATGACGGGGACGACAAAGAGAAAAGCGAGAGGGATGTGAAAAAGAAGCCCAAAGTGTCCCCGCAGAGTGAGGAGAAGGAGCGAAATGTCGAGAGCACAGCAGTGGAGAAAACGGCTGAGCTGCCTGCCAAGGAGAAGCCCAGCCCCGATCCCAAGAAGGAGCCCTCCGACAAAGCTAAGGGTTCTCAGCACTCGGCCAAGGAGAAGCCAAAAACCAAGGAGGAGGGGGTGGCCGGCTCGGGGGACCTGGATGTGGACTCCGACTCCGACAGGGAGCTGGTGATTGACCTTGGGGAAGACCACGCTGGCCGCGAGCGCAAGAAAAGCAAGAAGGAGCTGCCAGCGTCTGTCAGCGCGGCAAAGGAGACGTCTGCAGTGAAGCCGGAGGGTGCAGGTTTGTACTGCTGCTTCGGACCATTGGCATCTTCAGGCTTCGGTACAGTTGTCCTTTCTCTAGTTTAGAATTGGCCAGTTGTTTTTCATGCTATCCCACTGTTAAATTGAGTTCACAACGCGCAGGAACAGAGGAGCAATGAAGGAGCAATGAAGGCGACATACACGCATCCTCCAAAACATGTACTGTCATGTCATCAGCTTTGCTTTTCCCACTGTGAATCCAACATTGGCAGCTGTGAATTTAGGCGTCAAATGGAGAACAGATTAATCCTGATGGAATTTATTGAATGCGTGGTTGATTGCATTTATATAGCACTTTTCATCCTTAGAGGTCCCAAAGCACTTTACGTGTAGTACGGAACCTGCTTCACCCTCTGCTGAAGTGGGTGAGGTGGGGCAGTCGTTATGCAACACCAAATTGGAAAGTAAGAAGTTATGCCAGTTTGTGCGAACTGATATTGGAATTTCTGCAAGACACCAGGGTTATCGCCCCTTCTCTTACAGAGATGTGGGATCTTTAATGACCGGATAGTCAGGACATTTGTTTTGTCTCGCATCCTGAAGAATGCACCTGCTGCATAACATCTCTAGTCACCCACATTTAAGGTAGCTTTAACATATCAACAAAAGGTGCCATTAAGAAAAGTCTTTTAAGTAATTAAGGAAGCACTTTGAAGTATTTTTGTTATGCTTTAACTCGGATAGTTATCAGGTTAGTATGCACATCTACAGGCAGTCTGTGCTATTTACTAGACCACCCATGCTCTGTATCTAAACGTTTTTAGAAATTACTACATTATCTTCATCTTGATTTTGATACATCGAATGCTTAGAGTTCAGATGTCCTATTTAAATTCTTGCAGGTAAAGCCCCATCTTCTTCCAGTGCCACTGCACAGCCTTCAGGCGATGCTTCCTCAGCTCCTAATGTTAAAGACCCCACTCAGGCTTCCATCACCATTCCAATCAACGTTGTGTCTTTCGCTGCTACCTCCCTCATCCCCAACACCGCTTCCTCTGCCGCAGTAAAGAAACAGCGCCCTCTGTTGCCCAGGGAGACGGCACCAGCAGTGCAGCGAGCCGTCGTGTGGAATCCCACCACCAAGTTTCAGACTTCCTCCCAGAAGTGGCACATGCAGAAGGTGCAGCGGCAGCAGCAGAGCCAGAGCCAGCAGCAGAACACCCAGCCACAGTCCCAGCCCCAGCCCCAGCGCAGCCCGCAACAGCAGCAGCAACAACAACAGCAGCAGCAGCAACAACAGCAACAACAACAGCAGCAGCAGCAGCAACAACAGCAACAACAGCAACAGCAACAGTCTGCACCCCAGCAGCCCTCCCCCAGCACTCGATACCAGACCAGGCAGGCTGTTAAAGGTACCGCACTCCCCAGAACCTGAGCGGGAGGGTGCAGCTGAGAGGAGTACACTCTGCTCATCTAGATCAGTCACGCACGGCAACTAAGTGCATATTTACAACAGCCAAATGAACCGTTTTTGCCTACCAAAATAAAAAGAAAATCAGTTTTGTGTAATAAAAATTGTCGTAGGCTAAAATACAGAGACTGTGAAGCACTCCAATCAGTAGTAGGACTAGGACAATAGTTATCTATTTTGTAACAGAATTAAAAATATAAAAACTATCATATTTATTGCACATTAGGACATTAGCTAAAACAAATAAAGATACCAGAGTCATATGGGAAAATATGAATTCCATATTTTCTTAACTGCATTTTCTAACTATTTGTTTTAAGAACAAAGCACATAATAGCTTTGTTTAGAACATTTCGAAGCTAACAAATAGAACATTTCGCTGTTTTTCCCTCACACGCCTAGTATAGTACTTGCCTTAAAGAATACCAGACATCTTCCACTTGAAGGGACCTTGTCGTGTTGCCTGATGTTTCTCTGTGAACGGCTAGATGACCAGTCTGTGTAAGTGAAAAGTGAAGATGTCTTGTGCCTTGGTTTCAGCTGTACAGCAGAAAGAGGTCACCCAGAGCACGTCCACATCTTCGGTGACTTTGGTGACAAGCACTCCCTCCGTTTCTATGATCACCACGCCTGTCACTGTCAGCACACCTTCTTCATCTGTTACCACTGACTTCCAGATCGCAACAACGTCAGCTGACGTGGCTGCCGATATTGCCAAATATACCAACAAGGTAATTGGAGATAATGGTTACTCCTGGAGTGATAAAGTGAATGCAGTATGTCTGACAGTAATAGCCTAGCGGCTGGTTACATTGTCATTTTCTTTTTCAGATAATGGATGCAATAAAAGGAACAATGACTGAAATATACAATGACCTCTCCAAAAGTACATCAGGCAACACCATAGCAGAGGTACATATCAATAAATTAAAGATTTTCTTGAATAAAAGTCTTATTTACTTTGTTCTTACTATATGAAAGATTTCCAGTTCATTTCCAGCCAATGTGTTATTTTCACAATTTCATATGCTGCTTGTATATTAAATCTGTTGTATATTTTTCATGTAGATTCGGCGGCTCAGAATTGAAATTGAAAAATTGCAGTGGCTGCATCAACAAGAATTGTCAGAAATGAAGCACAACCTTGGTAAGAATGTTAATTCTTTGCTTGCATGTTTTTTACCGCTTGACCAGTGTTGTGTTCACTCTGCACTGCTTTGCATAGGATCTGTATCTCTCGTACATACTTGTCTCGTTGGTTTTCATTTGTATTTTGACTTGTTTCGACTGTAATTGAGTTATTAATTTGTCTTTACTTTTGTGTATTATTGGCTGTTTTGTGATTTGACCTGGATCACGTAATCAAATTAACAAATAACTAATAAGTTTTTTGTAAAAACATTCAGCACTATAGTCTCAGTGTCCGTCAACTTTACTAAGATTGAAATTATCTTTGTCATTGAAGGAATTAAAAAATGTGTTATTTCTTCATTTTAGAAAACGGTAGTTTAGCTAACTGAATTTGTGTATCTATGCTTTAGTGTTTTAGAAGTTGATACTGCAGTTGCCTTACAGCTTCCCCCTGTGTTCTGTGTTAGAGCTCACCATGGCAGAAATGCGCCAGAGCTTAGAGCAGGAACGCGACAGGCTGATTGCCGAGGTCAAAAAGCAGATGGAGCTGGAGAAGCAACAGGCTGTGGACGAGACCAAGAAAAAACAGTGGTGCGCAAACTGCAAAAAAGAGGCCATCTTCTACTGTTGCTGGAACACTAGCTACTGTGACTACCCTTGTCAGCAGGCTCACTGGCCAGAGCACATGAAGTCCTGCACACAATCAGGTAAAATAAAGGAGAGTACTCCAACATGTGCTTGACGTGAGGAACCACGAACAGTGTGATTTGTTCTCTTAGTTCTCAAAAGTTTTACTTTCAGGTACAGTTGCAAGCAGACCGATTCTGTACCTGCTGTCACTCAGTACCTTAAATCAATTCATTAACTGAAACATCTCTTATGTAATTGGAGGGATGAGTCTTGAATAATAATAAATACTACTGTACAGATATAGTTCATGAGCTAGAGGACACTTTATTGATCTAGAGTAGATCATATTTTTCTGCTACTGTGATTTGTAATCTGTAAGGTAGAGGCAGCGCAATCTGTCTAAATTGTATAATTTGTTGCTTTGTCAGCAGTGTACCACCTGTTATTTTTGTAAGGTTTTAAAGCCAGGCTTGGCTGCATGAATCACTTCTAATGCTACTTTTCTGTTTGGCAGTTGATACTATGTGTATACTATGTGTATTATATGAATTTAATGAGTAAGGGCACTGTTGAGGTCTAAGGAAAAAGATACTGTTAATGCTGGTGTAGTCCAGGTAAGTGTATCAAATTTGTATATTAATCTGTCTTTCATATAAAAAGGTCAGAGTTTAAGTTATTAGTTAATGAAATCAGGTATTATGTAATTAATATCCTTAGGGTGTAGTTTTGAGAGAAGACTTGAAATGTTTTTCATTGTACTGTTTGAAGCAGCAAGGGATGTTTTAGTTTGACAGCAAATGCATATCTCCCACTATTATCATACTTAATATTATTCATTTCCTTACAGCTACTGCTTCTCAGCAAGAACCTGAAACTGAGGTCAACCCAGACAACAAAACCTCTGGACAGACCACAGGTTCTCATTCTTCACCAACAGAAACTACAGCTATACCAACTGAGAAGGACTCAACTGCAGAAAAAAACAAGGACAATGTCTCTGTCAGTGTGTCCTAACCTTTGTTAAACAACTTTGCAACATTTATCATTGTATGTATTCTGTGTTAATGTCTTATTCAGGACAGGCTTTAAGAAAGCAGCGGTTTTTTTCATGCCAATCTGAGAATGCAAATACTCTCTGAATTCAGTATTAACAACCAGAGAATCATATTTCATTTACAACCCCCTTGGTTCATCATTAAGATGTCATTTGGTCATCATACAGAACTAGAAGAGGTGTAATGTAAGGTGTGTAATGTACAATCAAAACTAATGAGTCTTACACAATTCAGAAAAACTGATTTCCACTTTTAAGTAGAAAATCTGTAATTCATATATGGAAGTTATAGTGTCAAACCTGAAGACTGATTCTATTTTCTAATTCTATGGATGGAGAGCCTCATGTCCTAAGATACTTTGAAACAGGAAGCCTTATTCCATGACATAGGATACAGATAACTGAATCATAAAGTTGACTGAACAGAAAGAAGGTTAGGCACTCCAGATTTTAAAAATAGTTCCTGTTTGTCTCAAGGACAGGGAACGTTTGACTTTTATGTCAGTTGCGTACACTGCCAGTCCAAGTCATTAGATCACCTTTTATTCTAGTGTCTCCACAGGAAGCGGTAGGTTCTTTATGAGTTATGGCTCGGATATAGCTCTGACAGGACTGCATAGTGACTTAATGGGGAAAAAACATGTTGTTGAAGATGCCCAATTAGGACGGTTTTTCCTGAAAATAATCCGGCTATAAACCTTTGCTTTTTTTGCACCCTCTTTTCCCGACACGCTTGTGTTATTACAGTTGCATTATCTAGATCTTGGCATTAACTTTAGTATTATCTACCCCCTTTGAGGTGTCTCAATTCCAAGCTCTGCTGTTCTAACTCACTACAAGTACATTGTGTCTGAATGAACCCTCCACATTTCAGGTTTAGATCTATAAGTGGCTGGATTAAACTGGTTAGGGTAGTTTTAGAGATCTGAGTGAACTTCTCTGGCAGATATAAGTGAAATAAGCTGACTATGGGCAAATGCAATTTAAAACTTATAATAGCTTGAAGCAGAGATCAATCCACTATTTTAACTGAAAAACAAAATAGTTTGTTATACAAGTTTTGAAGACCTAAAATATATTGAAGTGTTCATATCGGCTATCTGCCTTGGCAGGTAACAACAGGTGTGAGAAGCATCATATCAGTTATTTTGGCAAAGGTACCACAGATTACTGACTCCCTATGTCCTCAATTCTGAACACCTAGGAAGTAGAAAATTCATGCACACTAGATCATACTGTGTAGAATAAACCTTTCATAGAGCTAAGCTTTTTTTTTTCTTTTATTTATTTTAATTTATCCGGTAGTGGCATCTTTTAGAAAAAAGCCATCACTATGTAACTAGCTGAAGACTCCATTTATATTGTAAATTGGTCACATTTCAACACTGAAATATTGTGTGACGTTTCATTTTTTGTTGTTGCTATTTTTCATTTTTATTTCCTCATACCTTTTGTGGATCCAAACTATAAAAAAAATCTATATCTGCGGAAAAAGAAATCTATTTAAATGATAAGAATTTAATGCATACTGCATCAAAACTATTCTGAAAAAAAGACAACTATATGTAAAACACTTTAACAAGACGACATTTTTACTTAGAGCATATTTTTCTGCCTTGAACATGACCACATGATTATGCTTCCAAGAGCTAGGGCTTGAGTTATGTGTTCCGGAAGAGTCTTTTCTATTGCTAGATGGGTTGTGAAAATATATTGGGATGTCCGTTGAGCCCTTTGTTCGAACTGCCTTTTAATGTTACAAACTCTCTGATTGGGGTCTCAAAATTCAATTGTGGTGACTGTTAATGTTAAACTTTATGTAATGGTATGATTTCTCCGTACAGAGAAAAGAAATCAAAAAGTGACTGTATTTCACACGAGTAAGCTGTCCTACAGCTTTTGTGTTTACATGATGTAAATAAAAAAAACAACTGGGGGTCTGAAAGCATCTGTTGAGAGCCTTATTCTCATCAATGGATATTACTGATAGGGTGGGATTCCTAAGAGAAGGGTGTGGAAAGCAAAGTTTTAATGTGCTTGTTTGGGGGGAAAAAAAGCCTATATATGTACGGACCTTTCAACTTCAAAATAAGCTTTATAGATTTAAAGACCACTGTGCATCAATGTGTATGTAGTACACTATAAATACTTAAATTGTCCTGCTAGAAACGTCATGACAAGCAGGAGATAAATGTAACATGTAAATGTAGAAAGTAAATGTTGTTTTCCCTCTGCTGTTCTGAATTGCAGCCTCTGCTCTGGCAGGAACTCTTTTGAAACATATGACGTGGAACTGTCTGCTTTGTTTCCTTTAATTAGGACACTGAAGTGTTAAATTTTTAATTCAGCATCTTCATCTTGTTTCTCTGTGCTCCAATGACTTCAGGATGCCAGGCAACGAGGGATATCCCATTTTCAGCAGCGGTTGTTTCCACGGCAGTCCATGAACATTTGGTGTTGAAACTCCTTCCTTTTTTTTAAACTGTTAAGAAAAAATGGGGACGTCCTCCTGATTTTATTTTCACACAGCTTCTGATTTAAGAATCCACGTGGTCTTGACTGTGGAATTCCATGGCATTTTGGAGGTGTAGGCCTGTGTACGTTTACTCTTCTCTTGTGTATCAGGTTTCGGAGGACTCGGACAATAATTTTTACTGTTGGAAATTCCTTGACATGCTTAACAGAGGTCTTGTTGCCCTCTGCAAGCCGTTTTGCTATTCAGAATGAGAAAGCTGTTGTTCTGTGCATTAAGACTTCCGCACTGTAGATTTCCATTTAAAAGTTTGTACTTGTTAGTGTTGCTTGTAGGGGAAAATATTATGGCTGCAAAAAAACCCAACAAATCTGTATATAAGATACAATATCTTAAAGTGTCTTTCTTGTGTTTTTTATTTCTTTTCCCAGCGAAACCCTTATTATTGGTAGTCAATCTCTGCAGTAGTTGCCCCCCATTGCTGGGACTATCATCATGCAAGCCCAAATACAGTAGACTGCAGCAGTAATGCCAGTTCTGCTAGCAGAGTGTAAGGCTGAGTACACAGAAGGGTAGAGTGCATGATCTGAGTGTATGTGTGTAAGGCAGAAAGACTGAACTAAAACAAAAAGAAATATGTGAAAAATAAAAAAAATGTGAACATGCTCTGCTGTGTACCGACCTGGAGGAATTGACAAGATTGTGTATTTGTATATACAACCTAGGGCTACACTACATTGTATAGCAGTAACATTGTTTAATGAGCAGAGCTCCATGTGGTGTGTTTTTTTCTTTTATTCCTTTGTAAATAATGTGCAGTTTTTTATGTCAATAAACATACTGTCAATTTCATCCACATTCATCTGTTTAACAGTTTATTGTTTGAATGCTTTGAGATATTTGAAGAAAGATCCCTTGATAACGGAATGTTTGTTTTTGTTCTAATTACATTTTAAGCATTTATGTTGTGATTTATTTCAAAATGTTTTTATATATAATATTGCACATTTAAGAATACTAGTGTAGATTGCTGGTCTATTGTAATATAAATCAAAACATCCCAATACTAAGAAAAAAATTATTTTGAAACATGCAGATTACTTTGAGCATTCCAACTGTGGAATTTTAATAATGGGAGTATTTTTGGAAAATTATATTGCGTGTACAGTTTTGGGAGAAAAAAAGATACAAATAATGAAGACAGAAATGTTAAAAGAATGCTAAGCCTTTTCCATGTGATGGTAAAAACATTTTTCAGCCTGAAGGCTTATTTTTTCCGAAGATCTGTTCTGTGCTACAGTGTAGAATGGGATCTGTGATATTTCTGGCATTCCTGTAACTTCAAAAAAAGTTTCCATTGTGGAAAATTGTTCTTCTTAACCATGAATATTTATGCTGAATTTTATTCTCTGCCACAGAATTGTATGTATGTTCTCTACAAGATTAAAGATATTGATGAAAGAGTTTGGTAGTAGAGTACCTTTTTTAGGCGGATGTGATTTTATTTGGAAATGGCTCCTGTATACTTCCAACAAAAATTGTGGGTGGTTGGAGTTTAGAGTAATTTGTAAAATTAAAATAAGCTCCTTAGACTCAACATTTTCTCAGTAATTACATATTAAAACTGTAGTAGTAGAAAGGGGATAATTAAAAACTATTCATAAAGGTATACAACAGAAGGACACTTTCTGTGACATACTATTGCATTTGATTCTTTGGACTGTAAAATTAAAGCAAAGAAATTATCATGCTAGTCCATAAACTTGAAATGTCTGGTTTGCTGTACAGTTTTGAATTCCGGCTCATTTCTTTTGATTATAAAGAAAGAAATATGTATAGTGTTATTGTAAAGAGTTGTTTTCACAAACCCTTTTTGTGAAACTTGCTTGACCTAAAGTATAAACAAGAAATCTTTTCCTATTTTATTTGTACAGTTTATATTAAAATTGTTGGTTAATTAAAAATGTTCATTATACTAAATAAGTGGTGACTATTATGCCCTAATAACACACAATCTTATCGTTTAATAAACCCACTGACTGTTCATTCAATTATTCATTCAAGATCAAACTACATCATGAGAGAGTTTACAGGTGGCAAAACAGATTGTAAATTACCTTGTTCCAGTTTGGACCAGATCGAGCTTAATTCTGTACACAGCATGTATCACACAATGTATTGCAAGAAATTATTGTTTTAATACAATTGCACAGTCCATATTTTGGCTGTATGCACAACACCTTCCTTGTTACTGGAAATCTTTTAAACCCATCACATGATAACACTACTGTTTTTCTTGTACTGTGTTCAAGTAAGCAAAGGTGCAATTTTGATTAAAAGCACAATCATTAAGTTGATCATCATATCTTCCAATGTGGCTTGATTTGGCAGAAACAAGTTTTCTCAGCTCTGTAGTCTTTGAGTGTTGATTTGGAAGGATCACAGGTGTTAAAACCAGTCAAAACATCAAGATTGTAAGCACAATTGGTAGTGCAAAGTCATCTCTTGATAAAGGATTTTAGGAAACCTCCAATGATAACGGCCCTATGCATACAAATGTGACTTACTACACTGAGCAAAATGACCCCACTAGCACAGCGTCACAATAATAAATGTAACAATAAAGATATATATATATATGACTTCCTGTCTTTTTGTGTACATTTTCCTTGAATTGCATTGCACGAAGGTGAATAGTGTTCCAACAATTTTTTTTTTTATAAACAGTTTTAATTACAGTCTGGAAGATTTTATTTACGAAATAAATTCACAAAAGGTGAACAATTGATAGTTTGCAGTTCTTTTTTTTATCTGCAACAATCCCGGTGTATTTATTGGGATTTTATGTACAAAATGTGTGAAAATACAATATAAACTACATAAAAAATGCATAAACATTCATTCTCAGAACCACAAATGTCACTATAAATTTTATAAAACAAAATCAGTGAATCTTTTCCTAAAATTTCAAGCCTGTAACATTCAGGAAAAAAAAGTGCATTCATAGTTTTCAGTCTCCAGAACTGTACATAAACTGTATTTTGATTCTTGTAAATCACATTTTCACATTTTGAGATCTATAGTCCGAATCTAATCCTGCAGGTTTTCTAAAAATATTTAATTCATTAGTTGTTAAAGACTAACAGACCATTGATCAAATAAAACTCCTCTTCTCTTGAGTTCATCTGCCATCTTTTGTTGTAACATATTATACTATTATAACATAATACGTGTTTTTTCTTACACACCCTGTTTCTTAACATAACTAATTAACAGATAAATTGACTGTATTTTGTATATCTGTAAAAAAACAGTACACATAAAATCTGACTACATATCTCTAAGCTTTTAAACTGCGTTTCTAACAGATTTCACAGGAAATCAGGTGCGCGATAGTGAAAACTGGTTTTTACTCCCAGCCTGGAGGTGTCGCTGTAACTCTCGCAGGGGCATCTGCCTGGTCTTCACAGGGAAGTCACACCGCTGACGGTTCCTCCTCCTCCCTCCTTCTCCACAGTCATTTTGACCCATCGAGAGAAAATGGAGGACTGAGCCGAGAACGACCTGGTTTATAAACTAACAACGGAGATCGTAAGTAAGGGGGTATCTCTTTGTACGAATAGTCGTCGTCGGGTTTTTTTTGGCAAATATCCTTTTCAGGTGCTCGGTCTTTATGTGGAAACGAAGCACTTTGGAGTGTTTTCGCGGCGGAACTTGGTAGTTTCTTCCTCGGTAATCTTGAGTGCGTGCTTGGAGCGTGTGTTGTGGTGTGGATTAATGTCGGCTGGGCAGCTAGCTAAGCCTCTCGGGTCCTGCGACTTGTACCCGTGAAGGAGGGGAGGTCATTTTATTAGGTTTACTAAACCGTACTGCCTTGTGGGGTCCCTTCATTTTTTGGTTTTTCCGCTGTGATCGAGTTATTCGACGTTTCTGCCCGGACGTGCGGACTCGTTCGTGTTTTATTGTTGAGCATGAGGCCTGGTCGGGTTGGTGTTCGGTCTAAACGCGATTTGATTTATGAGACCGACGTCAACCCCAGTATCTTCAAGAGACCCCCCCCTGCTTTCTTATCTTTTAGGATATAACTAGTTGGATGGAGGTTTTATTGTAATGAAATGGATTTCTTCATTTTTACATGAAAGCGTTTTTGCCTAGTTCGTCGTTTGCCGGACGCTACCTTAAGTGGATTGAACGCTCGTCTTGCTGAATAAAAAACGACATAACGATTACGAACACATAATTCGAATGCCTTTTCGAGTGAATGCATTTAACTTCATATTTTAAAATCGGTCAATAAAAAGTAAAACGGCTGTGCTATTTAATACGACCAGTCACGTTTCGTTACCGATGTGGCGTTGGTGGTTGTTGTTGTCCGATAACACCCGGATAGACGAGTTGAGTCGTTGCATCATGCAATGAAAACCAGTCTAAATATTCATAGAGCTCTAAATAACATTAAATAAAATGCTTGTTTTAAATATGCCTGGTAGAAGTTGTTAGTGAAACACTTTTAAATGGTTGCAATTGTGATCAGGCCGATGAATTTGTTGGTCACTGGAGGTAGGACGTTGGATTTTCTCGCAAATTTAACTGTGGCTTTATTTTACTACGGGTGTTATGAAAACGTCACGCGTAGCTAGCTAACAGGATTTCTGGAGAGCCGTGCAGCAGATCCCCGCCTTCTTGTAGAGATCAGGCCAGTGCCAGTTTGGAGGGAATGGATGTTGCAATATCGTAATTTGCCCGAATGTTTGGGCTTCGTATTTGGGATTCAAAACAAGGCTCAAATCGAGAGTAAAAAAAAAAAGTGAATAGTTGTGAAGTGGGTGTCGTTTGTGCACGACCTGGATAGGCGCTCTGGAATGAACCGGGAGAGATTTCGCTGGCCAGTCAACCGACGAATTGCTCATTTATTGATTACATTAACGGTTGCTTGCTCTGATTTACTTAAAGCCTTCTCCTTTTCCAACTTTGGCGTTGGAATTGTGGCTTGTCTCTGAACATCACTGGAAGGGATGGGCCACCGAGCTCGTCTGGTTGTATTTAGCTGCTGCCTGTAGTAACCTGTTAGTCCTGCCCGTTTTATTTGCTGGAGAGCCATAAGTGCGTTGTGACAACTCACCCGGATTTGGAGGAGCATGTAAACTCCACACACACACACACCTCACACACACACACGTGTACCCCAGCTGAGTGCATCCTGGAATTACACATTATATCTGTACTGTAGCTGTACTAATAGCAGTACTGTGTACTACTCCAAGACTGTGCTGATTTGTTTTTAGAGCGTATTGAGGACTGACCCATTATTGTTCTGGAGTAAAACATATCAAATAATAAAATAGCCCAAACACGAGCTAAACCTAAGCCTCTAAAGCAGTCGTTTTTTTTTTACACATTCCTTAAAATAATTTGTAAATGTCTAAAGTTTAGATTTCTTCTTCAAATGTGACAGGGGGATTCTCTTGTTCTTCGTGGGGTTCGTCGAATAGCCAGGACTTGGACTTATGATATCGGTTGTTGGTGCATGTTTCGTGATAAATGACAGGATAGATCGGAAGTTCATCCTGGTTCAGCTCCTGAAAGACCTAGTTCAGCTGAGCAGTTAAAATTGCAGTAATAAATCCTGCAGAAGCTCATGAAACTTTGAATCGGGACACATAGCAGGGACATTTCTACAACTTTTCCTACCTGGAATGTAAATTAAAAGGTTTGTTTTTTTCATCTTTGGTTTTCGGGTAACAGGTGTGAAAAAGAATGACCTACGACTTATACCTGTTGAAACCCAAATTTGTTGAACGCTAACAGCATACAAATTTAGCATGCCTGGTCAGTCATTGTCTTGTCTCGGTATTTGATTTGGGTTTCTAGATATATATTTTTTTCCTCTCATAGGAATACCTTTAATTATTTTATTTAAACTAGATACAGTTTTAAATAGAGATTTAAAACTGTGTAAAATATAAGCTAGATCGTCCACAAGGATTGTATTATCCCTGTGCCTTTCATTAATAGGGTATTTACACAGATACAAGTTCAGAAGCTGCTCTGTTCTGTTTTCTTTTTAGTTCTGAATCTCATTTGCCTGCACTCTGTATTTGGATTAAGTCGGAGGCTTTCACTTTCCTTTGTGAAGAGTAAGCTTCTCCCTTGCATATTGCAGGTGAAGTTTGTTGCCTGGTTGCCAATAGAGAGACAAACTGCCTTTGTTACAGACCACTGAATGATAGCATTGATGGGGCCCGAAGGTGCTGATTTTTTTTGTGTTGTTGGTAACTGCAGTGTGTATATGGCTCCAAATTAATGACTTTGTACTCCTATGTACGTTTTAAAATATTTGATCTCATGTATTTTAGTTTACTTACCGTTAAATGAAATGTAGCATTCATAACTGCAACAGTTATCGGAACCTGATATTTTTGTACCAGTTACACAGCTATTACTAAGCAGACATGACCAAAATAAATTCATTATTTTGATTAAAATTAAACATCAGTGGGGTAAAGGTGAAACTGAAAGACATAGCCTGTTAGGGTACAAACAATACAAGCTGTGCATCTGTGCTGCATCTCATTGAGCCCGAGTAGGCGTGTGTCTGTTCACTAGGTGCTGCATGTCATCTCATATATTAAGTAGAGCTCAAGTCGGTCGAGTAACTGTCACATTTTTTGTTTGCTAAAACTGCTGTTACATAAGCAGTATGCAGACATTTTCTTGTGCTGGAATGTTGCTACATCAGGATAAGCCCACAGGAACAGCAGTATTATGTGAGGTCTCGAGACCAAAGTGACATCAAGGTCTGTTGATGTTTTAGAAATGTTTAAGTCAGGGACATAAAATATTTGTCTTGGAGGGCTGGTAATTTCATAAATCAACAGTGCCCGAAGAGCTGGGAGAACCTGCAATTTGGTCCAGTTAAGCCAGTAACCAGCTGGTTTGGCCCATCGAGAGCTGAGCTGGGACGGAAACAGGCAAACACTCTGACCTTCAAGGACCAGACTGGCCATGCCTGGTTTAGATTGTAAAATGGTGGGAATGTATAAACATGTTTGGTGAGTGTGGCACCATCTGCTGGTTAGTTGTGTGTAATGTGTCCCACTTATTGGAAACCTATTGAGTAACAAATGCTCACTTTTGTATTTTGTTGTTACTGTTTTAATTTTTAAACTCAGCCTAACAAGCTGGTTGGAGTTTTCATAGTTAACATCAGATACTTAAATGTTTTTTTACAGCCTCTTGATGCAGGATCGTAACTGGGAAAATGTACTGAATGAGATCTTTTATAGTGATTTGTCCTGAAATGGGCCTTGCTGGTTAAATGACCACAGAAGCCTTAATTATCCTTAATGAATAATTCACAGCCTGAGTAAAATTCCTTTATTGATATATCATTACAGCTTTATTTTTAAACATCACTATGTTGATGGTTGCTTGTTAGTGTTTACGTAGAAGTAATCTTTGGAATAATTAATAGGCATCTCATTTTGTTTCTTATTTGAAGTGTACTGTAAGAGATGTATGCAGGGGGAGAAGTGATATAATGTGATTTATATGATTGTGCTTCATTTTTAGGCTATATAGCATCTTTATGCTGTCTATGCGTAGAATTATTGCATTCAATAACAGCATATACACCACAAACTTTATGGTGTGCTTATCATTTCGAGTTGATCCTGTGGAAAACTACATTTAAGAATGTTCCAAGGTAAAACCTTCTATACAAAAATATATTTTATAATAAAATGTTATGTAACTTTTTAAGTGACCTCTTTCAGCACAAAGTATGCAGTATGAAAGTTATTTAATAGATGTCTGTTTTTAGAAACTGTTTTAAAAAACATTAAAAAAAGACAATATAAGGCAAGCAATACATCTGATTAGATATTAAAGTGAAACCATGTATAAACAGAAACAGGGCATACTCCACAATTCCTTAATTCTTTCCCTGTTTTCTCTATGTAGTAAGACAGAACATACTCTTCTAAGCATCAGTTTTATTTTTATTTAATCCAAAGTGCTATAGTTTTTTCAAGTAAAGATGAAAAGGACAGGCAGCATGGTGGTGCAGTGGTTAGTGTTGGTGCCTTAAGCATTTGGGCCTTGGGTTGAGTTCCAGACCTGGGTTCCTGTCTGTGTGGAGTTTGTGTGTTTGCAGGGGTTTCCTCCCATAGTCTGAAGACATACTGGTAGGTTAATTGGCTTCTGGGGCAAAATTGGTCCTGGTGTGAGTATGTGCATGTCTGTATTTCTGTCAGCCCTGTGATGGACAGGTTGTGCCCTGACTCCTCCTTGACCCTGGAGTGGAAGAAGCGATTAGGAAATGGATGGATGGAAGATCTAAAAATACATTTTATTTGCGCTAGATGCTTCACTGTAGTGTAGTAAAACAAAATGGCTGGTCTATTTTGTCTTCTGGAAGAATATAAATGTAGTTAATTTAATTTTGTAACTGTGATCTTTAAGTAAAAGTGATTTTTTTTGCAATATGCATGAGTTTAATGTTATTTAATCGCTTGATTATTTGATACTTGGTTGAGTGCAGAAAATTAGTTTTTAATTGAAAGTTTTACAGAAAAATGTAAAATAGGTTA